TAGCTTTCCTGATTATTTTTCTTCTGGAAAGATCAGTGCAAGCCTGTCATGATTCTCTATCATCAGCATACTTTTGAGGTACATTTTAATCTGTCTTATCTAAAGTTCTTGAAAACAACTTCTACTTTCATGAAATAATATCTCTTTTGAAGCAGCAAAATGTATATATTGTACATAACCAGAAACCAAAATGAGACTAAGAACAGAGACAAGAGTACAGGACAACTGAAGGGACTGAAGCAATTCCCAATTCAGACTCTCTCTAGATGAGCCCCAGTCCCATGTCTTCAAATCACCTTGAAACTAATAAAGCATTCGTCTCTTTTGTCAAAGACAAGAAAGCAAGATCACTTCATCTTTGAAGTCACTCTGCCTTTACTATTAGAAAAAAAAATGCATCTACTGAAGACTTTTTTTCAATACAGCAACACAATAAAAGAGTAAGTGACTTTGTAGTGAACAAGAATATAGAAAGATAATTAAATCTCAGGGGCATTTTGGGGTCTAATGCAGGAAGAAAAACAAGCATCAAGACTTCTCTCAAAGACCCTTCCAAATGGTCATTACTACTAACACAAAGCTGAGAAATTAAAATTCTGTGCTTGATTTGTTCTTTCTTTTCAGGAAAAGGAGGTTGACTATTCATTGGGGTGGGAAAGTAGGAGGAAAACATCTCTGCTATTAATTTTTAGGTGCTGAAAGCTTGTTCATACCACCGAAGGTATTCATTTTTATAAAGATAGTTGCTAGGGAGCCAGACTATTGGAGTGAATATTTTTGTGTGTTTATAAAACTGAAGTATGCCATCATTCACCATGCTTTTATCAGCAGAATAGAGCCAATTAACTGGCACTGTTAAAATGACTGCAAAACTGTCAATTTCACCAGGGCACAAATATATAATGATGTAGATTGCTGAAGATTTTCTTCCCCTCAACTACAGATATTCAGTCTTAGAAAAAGACAATTCTATACTCTTCCTAATTCTAGAAAATTTGCACATTCAAGATTTAGGTCATAAGCAATTCTAACACATTCTATACTCTTCCTTGCATAAAATAAATCATAGGATCAAGGCCAGAAGTGGGCTTCAAAAACATGAGCTGTGTGGGTGGTCCTTCTGCTATGTGTTGCTTTTATGGGTTAATGAATAAAGAACTGCTTTGAAATTTCCTGCTTGATGGAAAAGTCTGCTGGATGTTATGTTCTTGTAGGCTGAAGATGGATGTCCCAATGGTACAGAAGAACTTTGGGTGACTGTCCAGGTAGTGAGATGTCTATGCCAATTTTAGAATTTTGGAAGTTGCTTACAATGTACTTCCTGTTTAATTAGGTAATATTATATTCTTCTGGAGTCTTTGATGGAGTTGAAAAATTTATAGTTATAGTTTTCCTTAGTTAAGATAAAATATAAAGTAAATATAAATATTATAACTATAATTATTGCTTGATAACTGTTTTGTTATATGTAATTTTACTATGTTAAAGTTAAAGTCTTCTTTTTTGTTTAAACAGAAAAGGGGAAATGGTATGGGAGGTCCCTCTGTCTATGTGTTGCTTCTGTTGGTTAATGAATAAAGAACTGCTTTGAGCCTATTACAGGGAAGAACAGAACTAGGTGGGAAAAGCTAGGCTGTATGCTGAGAGAAAGGTGGTGGAGTTGGAGAGATACCCTGGAGCTGCCACTGGATATTGACATGGTAAAATTTTGCTGGTAGGCCACGACCTCATGGTGATATACAGATTAATAGAAATGGATTAAATTATTATGTGAGAGTAAGTCAATGAGAAGCTAGACTAATGCTAGCTTGCTAATGGGCTAAGCAGTGATTGAATTAATACAATCTCTGTGTGATAATGTTGGGTCTAAGATAGCCGGGCAGTGGGAAGCCAACAAGCGGCCCTCTCCTTCTCCAACACTTGAGAAGGCCTAACGTATATATTTTACTACAATTCTGATTTTAGTTTCCTTCACCTGATTCTTTTCTGTCTCCAAATTTAAAAATATGCTTAACATGACTCATTATTAACAACATTATTTATACAGTTAATACGAATTAAAGAACAAAACAGACAAATCACTTCTAGGCAAAGACAGACCAATAAACAACTAAAACAGATCATGAAAATTTCCTAGTATGCAATATGGTGCTCATTGAATCCTGCTGATTATCTGCCTTTTTATATACTTTCTTACTACATTTTATGAATCTCCTTTTAGCGTTCCATAGTTTCAAACAAAACAAGACAAAATGTGCCATCAACAAGAATCACTGGGTTCTCAAAGACACAGACTGATTCAGAGCAAGGAAAAAAAAATTAGTGCCATGAAATATTAGGTATATCACTAAGGGCCAATGGCCATTGTGTAGATCTTTGAAAGCAGAATCAGACATGTGATAATAAGTTTGATCTATAGGGAAAGGATTTACCTGCCTTGTCAGAGCAAATAAATACAGATTAGTCTATAGGGTCAGGGATGCTAAAGGGAGATAAGTTTCATGGGTAAAGCTGTACAAAACCACAGAAGGCAACACATTCTTCCCTGAAAATATTGGATTCCATTCATGCTGGCATGACCTCAGCATGAAAGTTATACTATGGAGAGTTGTCACAAATTAACCTGACAGAGAAATAAAATAGTCAATTATAGAAAGATAAGAAAATAAATTGTATCTTCTTCATTTTACTTCCCAAATGAAAAAGTGAAATTTATGAAGTTCTATGACCCATTCAATGGAATGGAAACTCAAAGAAGTATCATAAAACAAGACCTGCAGTGCCACAGGACAGAGAAGCTGAGGAGCTGGGGATTGACCCAACATCTGGTCTATGCTTCCCCTTTCACCACCGCCCCACACTTTTAGGATATTAGGAAGATTGTTCAGAAAACAAGAAATTGTTTGACTAGAATTTGAAGAAATTGTTTGACTAGAATCCATGCTTTCCCATGAAGGACTGATACCCTGTGTTCAGACCCTCACAGTCTACATAAAAGCCACACTCAGGCCATACTCAGTGCTTACCAGCACATCCCTACCAGTAGATGGGAAACTAAGGATCCCACTGAAATTTCATAAAGCAATTCCTTTGGTGTGCACAACAATGAAGAACAAGAACGATTCTTCATACAACCAGGACAAACAACTACAGTTGTTTGACCTCCAGAATTGCAACCCTGGCACATTTGTTCACCATCATGTCACACAAAATCATGCACATAACACCAAATCTATGCATGCGTGCATGCACACACAAACACACATTCGTTTTCTCTTAGGAAAAACACTTCTAAGGATAATGTTAGGAGCAATAACTGATACCTTAGAAAGCATTTCTTATTATTTATTTATTAAGCTACCTCTTACTGACTGCATGATTGGAAAGTCTATCTGTAACTTAGTTTTCTCACTGACTTTTTAGGCTGGATATTGCTGTTACTAATAAGTGCCTTTTTGTAATACATTACTAAATAAATAAACTTTTAATAATACGTTAGAAGTCCTGTAACCAGTGACTAGAATAAGAGTTTAATGCATATTAATTCCTTATCACATATTATTCATATTTCAGGATGTGTGTGTTTCACTTTTCAGTTTCATAAAGTAGGATATGCTCAGGATGTTTCTTGCAGGTAAATTTTCCCCTTGTGACAATTCCTTGCAACCTTGATGATAATGCCTCCACCCCCAACAATTATTGTTTAGTAAGTGACAACTGACTGATATTCATGGGCTTTCTTAAGGTAAATTTAATTTTTATTTTACAAAATTCAAGTATTTGGGTTTGTTTTGTTTTTCTGTAATCCCACACACTGGTTTATCAGTCTGTGGAAGAAGCAGAAAGATAACCTCAGGGGATATCAGCTGGTCCTAGCTTAGACATTAAAGAACACTGTGAATGTGTAAAATTGCCTTTGGCAAATACTATTTACAGACCCTCTGGCACAGTTATGCTGAAATGATAAGAAATGTCACAGTAGCCTACCACAATGAATAATAAACACTCCCTGCCTTTAGTATCAATGACCTACTTACTCAGAGCCCAGGCTGCTTATGGTCACAATAATAGAAAAGAGAAAGGTTTTTTTTTTTGCTTATTCTTTCATTAATATGCTGCAACTCTTCCTATTAATTAGAACAGCGGTAGAGTCAGAGGTAGACCTTAGTGAGATTACCTACATTTTACATTTACAATATAGTTTATTCATTTTAATTAAGTGAGTTCTAAGTATAACCACTTATAATTCTTCCACCCCATGAAAATAATTAAAAATGAGATTAGTTAGCACATTTCTGTGACATCATTAAAAATTGTTCATATAAGAATAAAATTTTCCTATTGTCTATTTTGTATTTACTTGGACCTTCTGTGATGAGCGAGACTTAAGTAATAAAATATTACATGACTACTGACCTCAAGAAAGATTCTATTTTTCTTAAATTTTTTTCCACATCTACAGATTTCTCTACTCTTCATTGATGCTGGTTATCTTCTGGACACTCATTACAATGCCTGAAAGCATATTATAAACTATCTCTCTGAATGTGCTAGTTCCTTCAGACTTCATGGTAGGCTGATATAAATGGAGCTACCTTATTCTTCACTTCCTTATAAATTGTGTGTTTTTGATCCTCCTCTGAGGGCTAAAGAGATTTCAATGGTAATAAATTAATCATTAATAATAATCTTATTAATAAGATATCAACACAGAAACCAACATAAAAGCCTGTAATGAGGAAGAAAATCATGAACTAAAATTGATGGATTGGTGAGTCTCAGTTTGTGAATCAGTCAGACTCACAACTGGAGAAGAACTCAATCTTGTAAGTTTTGCCCTAGGAACTCTGCCAGGCTACCACTGGAAACACCAGAAGAAAATCTCAGGATATTGCTGCAAACAGAAGACAAAGGATTTTTTTTCTAATAACGCTATAGATTGCTGTAAGGATTTTTTCATATTTATGTGGGTTTTGTTGATCTTCTCCCATATTCTCCTTTTGCTCATCTCTTTATCTCCTTTACGGTTTAAACATTTGCCACCAGTAGTTCCCTTTCTGCTTACAGAGTAAACATGCCCTACCGCCCTTGCTCTGGCCTGTAAGAAACCTTTTACCCTCTTTTCTAGTTCCCTGGCCCCTGCACACACACATGAATAAAAACTGGAAGCTAAGATTTGCAAATTAGAGGAAATATAAGGTATGCGTTTCTTTTTTTCTTTCTTTTTTTTTTTAATTGCTGCTCCCCCCAACCCCACAACGTAGTAATGCAAGTTTTAATGAAATACAGACCAGGAAGGATTCTGGTGATGTCCACGCTCTGGAATTCCAGCAAGAGGCCACAAAACATGTCATAGGGGCTTTTTACAGACAAAATCATAGGCCAACATATTTCCGATGTGGCTTTGTTAGTTTTCAAGAACTACAAGTTCCAGCATGCCAGGAATTTACCTGGTCCTTAGGCAGGTGGGGCTTACAAGTTGACTTTTACTCTTACCCAGGGAAAGGTGATATCATGGAGAAAAAGGGACACTGCTTCTTTTCTTTCTGATTCTGTTCTATCTTCGCTGTCAGAATATTGAATAATGGCTGTCTTTACTGGGGCTACCAACTGCTTTACTGTGCTCACTTTCTGAACACAAAATCATGCCTTGAAATAATATATTATACAATGTCAAAACATTCATAATGCAGTTCACTGGATACACAGAAGTAATCGTTGTATATACCATGCTTTAATAATCAATGCAACTACATTTATGTGGTGTTTTCTGAAGTGTTAACTATTCTCAGCACTGTCAATAATAAATATAAAGGTCTGTCACAGTGCTACCTGTCCACAACACTGCTCCCTCCCTCAGACCACAATTAGAATGTATTGAGCTATGGCCCTAGTGGGAGTGAAGAGAAATGGATTAATGTTAAGACTTAGAAAAGTTTTAAAATGAGGTAATCCATGTGTACCTAACAGCAATAATTATTTTTTGTTTTCTGGGTTTTTTTGTTTTTTTTTTTTTTTTTTTTTAGGTATGTGTTTTACCAGCCCTAGTTACCCTTAGGAGAGGCCATTCAGTCCAATTAACAAGGTAGTCTTACTGGCTAACTTTTTATTCTAGCCTAACTGTCCTGCAAAAATGTAAATACCAACTACAGTCTATCTGCATACCTCCCAACTAAAAAGTGAGGACTGAGCAGTCATTGTGAAAGTAACAGTTCAGAACCACAGAACCCTAAAATACAAAAAATTAATCACAGGTTAGTAGAATGCTCTGTCCATACCACAACATTCTACCTAGTGCTTCTGTATGAAAAGATCATTTTGCATGAGGCACCATCTCAAACTACAAGGGAAAATGTGGTACATAGTAAAAGTCATAGAACAGAATATGAGGAGAGAGAACAGCGTTAGAAACAGATAAAATAATTATAGGAACTTTATATACCATTTTTACAATAGAGTGAATAACAGACAGGAATGCAGGAGCAATAAATAGGAACATAGAAGAATGGATAAAGAAGGTATGGCACATATACACTTTAGAGTTCTACTCAGTGGTAAAAAACAATGACATTTTGAATTTTGCATGCAAATGGATGGAAATAGAAAACGCTTTACTGAGTGAGGTAACCTAGACACAAAAAGAGGAATATGTTATGTACTCACTCATAAGTGGATTCTAGCCATAAATAAAAGACATCGAGCCTATAATTCATGATCCTAGAGAAGCTAAATAAGAAGGTGAACCTAAAGAAAAACATATAGTTATCCTCCTGGATATTGGAAGTTGACAAAATTGCGGGGCAGGGGTTGGAAGCATGGGGGTGGGGGTGAGGTGAGGATAGGGGGAGATGGGGGAAGAGAAGGGAGAAGGGGAGGATGGGGAGAGCATGAGGGAATGGGATGGTTGGGATAAAGGAGGGGTGGATGTGGGAGCAGGGAAGTATATATCTTAATTAAGGGAGCCATTTTAGGGTTGGCAAGAGACTTGACTCTAGAGGGGTTCCCAGGTGTCCAAAGAGAGGTCCCCAGCTTGTTCCTTGAACAACAGAGGAGAGGGTGCCTGAACTGGCCTTGTCCTATAGTCACACTGATGAATATCTTGCATATCACCATAGAACCTTCATCTGGCGATGGATGGAGATAGAGACGGAGACCCACATTGGAACACTGGACAGAGCTCCCAAGGTCCTAATGAGGAACAGAAGGAGGGACAACATGAGCAAGGAAGTCTGGACCGCGAGTGGTGCGTTCACCCACTGACATGGTGGGACTGATCTAATGGGAGATCACCAAGGCCAGTTGGAATGGGATTGAGGGAGCATGTGATCAAACCGGACTCTCTGAATGTGGCTGAAGGTGGAGACTGACTGAGAAGTCAAGGACAATGGCACTGGGCTTTGATTCTACTGCATGGACGGGCTTTGTGGGAGCTTTGTCTGTTTGGTCCTGGGGGGAGTGGAGAGGACCTTGGACTTCCCATAGGGTAGGGAACCCTGACTGCTCTTTGGCCTGGAGAAGGAGAGGAAGGGAGAGTGGGGGGAGGGGAGGGAAGTGGGAGGAGGGGAGAAGGTGGAAATTTTTAATTAAAAAAAAGATGCGAGGGATGCGAGCACCCACTGATACAAGGGGACTGATATAATGAGAGTTCACCAAGGCCTGTTGGACTGGGACTGAACGAGGACATGATCCAACCAGATTCTCTGAATGTGGCTGGCCCGGAGCCTTTCTGAAGAGCCATTGACAATGACACTGGGACTTGCTTCCTCTGCATAAACTGGATTTTGGCGATCCAGTCTGTTTGAACTCTCACCTTCCCCGGACCTGGAGGGAGGGGGGAGGAACTTGAACTTCCCACAGGGCAGGAAACCCTGACTGCTCTAGGGGATGGAGAGGGAGGAGGAGAGGGAGTGGGGGGAGTGGGAGAGTGTTGGGAGGAGGGGCTGAAAAGGAAACTTTTATAATTTAATAATAAAAAAAGAAACAAAAGTATTCATATAAAAAACAAAAGCTTAATACAAACATTTAAGTGACAAATGCCCCTGACAAACTTCTAAATAGAAGGATTACTGGAACTAGTGTTATATTAGTAGATGTTTCCCAAACAAAAAATCAGATAGTAGAGAAGAAATAGGTTAGAACAGAATTTTCAGAAACCACAAGACAATAACAAAATGAGCAAAATATGAACAAGAAAGATATTGGTATATGACTATTTTATAGGCAAAAACCTACTGAGTTCCATAGCTTGTCTAAGAGTAATGACTTAAAAAGTGAGGAATACAAAATTTGGGTTAATTTTTAATCGACTTAGAACCTGGAGCTTAAGTTTTTGGAACTATGGCAATGCTTTAAAATATGGAATAAATAGAAATAAAGAGAATATTTAAGTAATAGTAGGATTTTTTTTAAATCCAAATCACCACTCCACTGGATAGCCCATAGGCTTGACACCATATTACAATGCAAAACACAATTAAGTCCAATTTCAGAAGTCCCATAGTCTATAAAGGTCTCACAACTGTTTATAGGTTCAAAGTCTCCTCTGAGACTCATGGCAATTTCTTAACTATAATATCTTATGAAATCAAAATAAAAAGCAAATCCCAGACTCCTGACATACAATGGCATGATATATACATTACGGTTTCAGAAAAGAACACATGATGAGTAAACAATGTGCCAAAACAAGACCAGAACCAGAGCTGGGACAACTCCAAACTCTATATCTCCATGTCTACTGTCAAAGCGCTCTTCAGATATCTAACTCCCTTTCTGCTTTGTTGACAGCAACACACCTCTTTCTCATGGGCTGTTCCTCTTAGCAGCCTTTCTTGGCAGGTATCACATGACTTTGTAATCTCCAACACTTTGGGGTCAACAAGGCAATCTAGGCTTCACTTTTACATTTTCATGCAATGACCTTTCTAGACCTCAATTCAGGGATACCCACAACACATGCCTGGCCTCAGCAACCTTTCTTAGTCACAGAAAGAGTTTACATAAGTTCTTTCTTGTATTCTTGGCTCTAAAGTCAGAACCACATGGCCAAAGCTGCCAAGGTCTGCTACTTGCTGAGGTTGGAACATGGTTCCCTTGTTCAAAGATGTTTTTACCTATTTTTGATGTTTTCTTCACTCTCTAAGCTTGTCAGTTCTTGAGCATCCTCTATAGACCAGGCTGGCCTTGAACTCAGAGATTTGCCAGCTTCTGTCTTCTTAGTTCAAGGATTAAAGTTGTTAACCACCATACCTGGTCCTAAACCTTTCTTTAATTTCTTTTTCCTTTGCACAGGTTGGAAGTTTAGCTAGGCAGGGTCTTGCTCTGAGGTCACCACTCCCTTAGCATCAGGCTTTTCTGTAATCTGTTTACACTTCCTGGTGCTCCTTCTCTCCTCCAACTGCACATTTTATATTTTTCCTTGCTCAGCTTGCTCCTTTTCATTATAGATCTTCGAAAGTCTGTCCACCAATAACCAGACAACACAGTTGGTGCAAGGTTGTTTGGAAACAGCCTCTGCCAAAACTGTTAATCTATAACTCTTCAGTTTAGCTTCAGGTAAATATCTTTTGTACAAGAGCAAAAGGCAGCCACCTTGTTCACCAAAATATAACCAGAAATGATTTCTAGGCCACATATTAATATTCTGCTCTGTAACCTCATGAGCTGGGCCCCAACAGTTCAAATCACCGTCACTACCATTGTCTTCCATGTTCCTGCTATTAGGGCCCATTAAGGTCTGTTGAAAGTTTCCAATCACTTTTCTAGTCCAAAACCCTAAAGTGTTCCACATTCCTCCGAACAATAGCATGGTCTGGCCTATCACAGCAATACCACTGTCCGTATTACCATCTGTCTTTGTTAGGGTTTCTATTGCTGTGAAGGGACACTATGACCATGGCAACTCATATAAAAGAAATCACTTAGTAGGGGATTGGTTACAATTCAGAGGCTTAGTCCTTTCTCATTAGTAATGGAGAAAAGCATAGAGGAACACAGGCAGATATGGTGCTGGAGAGGGCCTGAGAGTGCTAAATCTGGCTCATCAGGCAGCAGAAAGGATGAGGGAGTCACTGAGCCTAAGCTGAACTTCTGAAAGCTCAGTTCTGGTGACACACTTCCTCAAACAACAAGGCCACACCTCCTAATGGTGCCATTCCCTGTAAGACTATGGGGGCCATTTTCATTCAAACCACTTCAAATATATCCTCAGCAATGTCAAAGCGGTTCTAGGAATAAATACATTCCTAAATGCCCAATTCCTTTACCTTTGCTATTCACTAATTCATTCACATGGTTTTAAATACGTTTAAAAGATTATGCTATGTGTATTTTCAATAACTATCTAATAAACTGTTTCCTAATACTATTACTCTATTTGTAGTGGTCTTTAATCTTCTACTCAGTTCTACCACAAATTCAGATCACCGCTGTCTGCAGTCTTTGTTGTCTTTGAAGTTTTTATTAAAAGAAATTCATTTTGAAGTCATCTATTTTCTCAATCAATATTTATTTTTTTTAAAAAATTGATTTCTATTTTTATTTATGTGTGTCTCTATGTGGGTGTGTATAAGTGAGTGGAAGTCTCGGGTAGTCCAGAAGAGAGTATCAGACACCCCTGTAACTAGAGTTATGAGGCATTGTGATTCACCTTATTTGAGTGCTGGGAACTGAACTCAGAGCTTCTGCAAGAATAATACAGACTTTTATCCACTAAGCCATTTTTTCCAGCAGCAACAAATATTTGATAAGCACCTATTATGTATCAATTATTATATTAGATACTGGAAACAAACTTTTATGACAAGCAAGCATTTCTGAGCTCATGTGGTCTTTAATCTATTTGGTAAGAAATAAATATATAATCAAAGCCTTTCAGTTACATCATTTATTGAGAATTAAGCTCAAAATGGATGCATGCAAACTGAGTGGTGTGTGACTTTCAGTAGGCTATCCTAAAGGTTTCCCCAAGTTTTGTGATTTGAGCAAAGGCTTGAAGTTGATGAGAAAGCAAATCCAATAAATGACTAGAAAATGGATATCAGCCAGAAGGAGAGGAATAGGCTCAGACGGTGGGGGTATGTCCACTACAGAAAATAAATAAGCAAATAAAACCAAGCTTAATGGAGCTGAAGGTGCTCAGGCAGGAAATGGGCTCAGTGACGTGACTGGAAACCAACACCTAAGAAAATCAATAGTAATGTATGCAAGATAAAGATGTGGAGGTACTTGCTTAGAACTAGAGGGATAGACAGAAGTAGAAACTGGGCAAGACTAATACTGATTAGAGAAATATGTGATAAACCTTGAATCAGATATCTAGGCATTATATTAAATGGTTATTAAGATTCACACATATATAATTGCTCTAGCCTATTAATTTGTGATGATCTGTATAAAAAATTGCACCCCGTCCCAATTTTAGATATTTGAAAATTTGATCTCCAGTTGATGGTGCTATATTGGGAGGCCATGGAATCTTTTTGTTTTATTTATAGAGCTTAAGAAATAGCCCAAGTCATGGAGAACACAGTTCACTGTTTGAAATCAGAACTCTGTAATCTGAACTTGTGGTGTTTTGATGACTTCATCCTTCAGCAAAGTTTCAGGGAAAGTGGCATGAGATCTCTTCAGTGTTCTCTTGGATTGTGGTCATCATCCATTCTTAAATTCATTAACAGCCCACAGAAGTATTCTTTATAAAATAAAACCCTAAACCATACAAACACAATAAATATGTGTGTGCATGTATACACAATAAATATGTGTGTGCATGTATATATATTATACATACATACATACATATACATATATGAATTTGTGGGCACACATTGTGCCTGTGTTTGTGCACATATGCACTTGTAACTCCCTGTCTTTTTGATAGGACTCAAATAAATTTCATTTCAAATAAGATGTTGTAAAATTGCCAAAAAATAATGTGCTTTGGCTTTGGATGACTTCTCATATCTCATGATTTCTCAGCTATGCAGGGCTTTGGACTCCATTCTGAGATTTACTAGTTTCTCTTACTAATAATTTGTGTCTTATGGAGTTCTAATAAAAATATAAATTAAATACCAAATAGAGAGCACCCATTTCAGTCCTGATATGTGTAAAGTAAATAATAGTCATCTTAATTTTTATTTGCTAACTCATTGTAAGAGATTTTCATCTTCTGGAATCAGGAGAGTCATTGGCAGTCAACTCAATTGAATCTATTGGTTGTTGCTAATATGTATTCAAGTTTTTAGAGAGTAAGCTCTAGTGTAATCAGGGTTGCTGTGATAAACTATTCTGACATAAAATGACTTGAGAAATAAAGAGGCTATCTTAGCTTAAAATTGTAGGTTATTGTCCATCACAGCAGGAAAGTCAAGACAACAGGGTCTAGAATTGATTACTTACATTTTACCCACAGTCATGAGAAGAGAGAACTGACTGCATAAGGCTGATTTACCTACCCTCAGCCTCGTCTCTCCAGATCCAGTGACCCTGCCTTCTGTACTGTGCAGCCCATATGGTATGTATCTTCTTACTTCAATTAACTTATTTAGACAATCCTTCACAAATTGTGTCCAGAATACAACCCAATGCACAGAATATTTCATTGGGATTTCCTTCCAAGGTCACTCTAGGTTGAGTGAAGTCGGCAAGTCTAATGGTTACAGAGCCCTATGCACCTGAACCCATGGTGAAGGGCAAAACTTTTCCACCAATGAGATTGTAGCCCATTATATACTGTGAAAGAATACCTCAGTCCACTTTCAGAAGTACTGCTTAGAATGTAACATAATTTAAATAAGGGAACAATCAACAACCAGAATGTTAGAATAAACCAGGGAAATTAAGAAACAAAACTGAGCAGCAGCATAAGTATCACTGAAGGCTTCTTAACGGTTTAAGTAGTGTCGGAGTTGAAGTACCACAGAAGAACTAATGGAGAAAGGTGTGTCTACAGGTATTCACTGCTCATGGTCATATAACTCAAAGAACCTATACCCATGATGTTTTCTTAAAATGCATCAGCTCAGATAATATTAAGGCCTGGTTTCCAGAAAGTTCTAAAGATCAGTTTATATTTCTTTCTATGCTTACCTATGTAAGCTATGGATCTAAGGCTGCATCACCCTACTTTTGAAAAATATGGTCCCTGTAAAAATAAGCCATACATTCTTCCCAAAGTCTACTTACATCAAACCATACAGTGTGACAGAGGGGGTAAAAAGAGGCTTAAACTGTTCCTAATAGCAGGAAGAGTCATATATGAACAATCCTGGAAAGTAAGTCCACACACAAACCCTTTGGAAAGCCATCTTTCCGATGTTGGAGTTCTAGAAAATAGTTCAACTAGTACAGCAATGCGAAAGATGCTGCCAATCAGTGTGTAGAATATGAAGTCTCTTAAGCTTCACAGCAAATTAGATATTCATTCCCTAAATTTGAAATCTGGGGAGATCACAAGTTTAGTGCTCTGCATGCTGATTAAACAGGTCAATGTTATTGGGATATTTCCGTTGCTTGAATCAAAATCTTAAGCTAAAATTTAGTGCCTTGAAATTGGTTTGTTTTTTGGTCTCAGACACTCCCTTGGATCCCTGTCAGCGGAAGCAGTGGGGAGACTGGTGAGGACTAGGAGCGCCTGGATCCTGGAGGGTGCTCACACGGGGAAAGGACATGGTTCAGTGTGAAAGGCCCCTAAGCTTCTTTGTTACTTAATAGGCAACATATAAAATTTTTGGTTATTTAACATTTTTATGAGACACAAGATTGAGATGTCTAGTAATCATTAAACATAAGAATTTACAAGATGAGGAAGATGCCTTTGGCTTATTATCCTAGACACGTGCTTATTGTAGTACATTAAAAACATGTCTAAGAAGGCTTTGTATGCCTAATTACTTTCCGTTGGTTCAAAGAGTTATGAACTATTACTCTTTAAAATACCGTGTGTGTGTGTGTTATATGTTCACATATTTGCAAAAAACGCCCCTTGGAAGGATTTATACTCTTACTTGTTTTCTTACTCTCAAAGATTATAAATAATTACTATTTGAAGTACCATTTACATATATGTATTTGTGTCATGTGTTAATATATATTTGCACATGTCTTGGTTGATAGAAACTAGAGAAAGATACCCAACATTCAATATTCAATATTCAATTCTTTATATTTAGCATTCTACCTTTCACCATCTACTTTTCTTTTATTGAAAATAGATTTTTTTTATATAATGTATTCTGATTGTGGTTCCCCTCCCCCAACTCCTCTGAGATTCTCCCCACCTCCACTACCATCCAAATACACACCATTTCTGTCTCTCCTTGGAATAAGAAAAACAGGTATCTTAAAAACAATCATAATAAAATGACAACAAATAAACTGGAAAAGGACAAAACTAACAAAAAATAAACAAAAGACAGAAGAAAAGTATCCAAAGGAAAAACATAGGAAAACATATAAACACAGAGACACACAGATTCATATACATAGGAATCCCATAAAGACATAACCCAAGAGTTCTTCATTGAACCTGGAGCTCACTCATACAGCTAGGTTGGTTGACCAGTGGTCCCCAGAATTGTTCCTGTCTTCCTCCCAACATTGAGATTATATACATGCAGCACTGAACCCCAGCTTTTGATATTGGTGATAGAGAGTCCAATTAATGTCCTCATGGGAAGGAAACACCACCAACTGAGGCATCTTTCAGGTGCCTAAAAGTAGCATTTACTAAAAATCAAGAGAATAACAAAGTTAAGCAACTGGAATTTTGATAAATTCTCCCTCATAGGCAGTATAGGCTTCTCTCCCCAAACTAACAGGAGATGTATCTTTTTTTATTGATTTTATTGAGCTATACTTTTTTTCTCTGCTCGCCTCCCTTTCGTTGCCCTCCTGCACATCCCAATGCTTCCAATTTACTCAGGAGGTCGTGTCTTTTTCTATTTCCCATGCAGATTAGACCTATGTTTATGTCTCTTAAGGTCCTCATTGTTGTTTAGGTTCTCTGGGATTGGGAATTGTAGGCTTGTTTTCTTTGCTTTTTGTCTAAAACCCACTTAATGAGTGAGTATATATGCTATTTGCCTTTTTGGGTGTGGGTTACCTCACTCAGTAAGATGTATTCTAGATTTATACATTTGCCTAGAAATTTCAAGATGTCATTATTTTTTCTGCTATTTTACAAAATAAAACTTACTATATAAATTGTTCATGCATTTGAGTATTAGAGTTGCCTTATTCTCAACTCATAGGTCAGTACTGTTATGTTGGCGAAATTCTTGTCCATTGAGTTTTCAGAGACTAAAATAAACTTCTGTTTGTACCGTGCTCACCAAAGGGCTAATAAAGCTGGCACGATGCTGACAGTAGAGAAAAAATTGCATTCTCATCCTGTAGGCCCAGTGAGCAATGAGCTGAGCTCAGATATTTGTGAGTCATGCTAATTAGACAGTAGGGTCTCAAGAGACTGCTAAATCATGACCCTACCTAAACTGCTTGTCCTCAAGCACCGGGTAATAGCATAATGGTTCGTGAGAGAAAGGAATTTCTGATCAAATCAGCCTTCTTTTTAAACTTTAGTCTCTCTGCACATTGCAAGTGACTTTGTCAGCTCCAGTTTTAGAAGTTGAGCTTCCAAAGATATTACAATATGAAAGTCCACTGTAATTGATTCCAGTTGTCTTAGCCACAAAAATTGCTTTGCTTTAACAACAACAACAACAAAAAAAAGGTTTATGGATTTGGACACATTCTGTTGTCTGCTGCTTTCGCTTATTACACATTCAGTTTTTTTTCCCTGTTTCCAAACACAAGGGTTGGCAAATAATATAGCTCTATCAATTCATTAGATAAAGAAAAAGTTCTCCACAGGGTGGCTTAAATAACCATTTTCATTTTCTTTACTCTTAGCAGTAAAACATTTTAGATTGTAAACATACTTAAAACTACAGAAAGAAAGAATAGTTGAAAAAATCCCTCATAATCATTCAACATAATGGCAAGCACAAAGAATGAAATCGTGAAATTTGCAGGAAACATACAGAACTGGAAGCCATTATGTTGGATGAGGTAACCTAGACCCTGAAAGTCAAACCCTGCATGTTTTCTCTTATATGTGGGTCTTAGTTACTATTTTAATTTTTTATTCAAGTTTTCTTTCTGTATAACCATCTGCCTTTTTAAAATAAATATGTTCATTGTGTGTGTGGTATTTGTGTGTGTATGTGTGTGCATGTCTGAGTGTGTATGTTTGCAAGTCTGCAAGGGTATGTGTGAGGGGGGTGTATATGCATGTCTGCATGTGTGTTTGTGTGTGTGTGTGTTTTTGAATGAGTATGTGTATGTGTGTATGTCTGCACTTGTGTGGGTATGTGTGTATGTATATCTGCATATGTGTGCAGTTTGTGTGTGTGTGTACCTGTCAGTGCCCAAGTGTCATGGCATGTGTGCAAAGCAGACACCTTACAGGGTTAGCTCTCTACTGAGTTTCCACCAGGTGAGGTGTGAAGAGAAAAATCAGGTTGTCAGTCTTGATAGCAGGGCCTTTGCCTATTAAGCCATATTTCTGACATACTTTTGTTTTTTTTAATAAAATAAGAATCAGAAATTTTTGGTTTCTGATTTTTTTCTTCTATATTCATTAACCTCTTTCAAAACCATGTCTTGAAATATTCAGTTAAATACATTGTAATATCTCATTGAACCTTTGTAACATATCTAATGTTTAGCTAGTTTCTTCGGGGCATTTCAAAAATAATTTTCTATACTTAACTAATTATAGTTATTATACAATCATACTCTAATAATTTCTAAGTTTTATCTAGAATCTCTAAAATTGAAAATTTTCTTTTAGGAATGAAGAAGAAAGAAAAACATTGACTCATAGAATTTGGTTCCCAAAACACCAATGTTCACAGTAGAATCTTATTTTTCCAAAAGTTGGGTGGCTTAAGAAGTGGGTTTTACACTCTTCCTGCTGAGCTTCATCTTGCTGTAGGAAGGACATGTGCTAGTAGACATTTGTATAAAATGACCACGTGAAGGCTTTCCCACAGGGAAGCTTGCAAGCATCATAAATAGTTTAATATTTCTGTTTTGTTCCTTTTTGCAAATGATGAGAGCAAAGAATGCATAGCCTAATATGGTCCAGTATTTTTATTTCTTCCTTCAATTGTTCATTCGTATTAACTCATTAAATTAACTTATCTGTGTTCATATTATATGAAAGTATAAGACCAGAAGCTTTATTTCTTAAAATTTAAGACACACAATCGTGGTTCTGGTAAGTGTAGAAGAGAAACTGACTCAGTTAAGGGTCACTATATGAATATGTGAGGTCTTTCAGAGCCATAATCATCGTTACCTAAGCTAACACTGGTTTTAATGTCATCTCACACAACAATGGTTTTAAAATCTTTTCTCTGTGTTTTCTCTCTTTTATTTTCTAGATAGTGCTCCATGAAGACACAAAAAATCTTTTTTTTTTGGTGTGTATGTGTGGGAGGGTTGTTGGGGTGATAATTTCCGGAATTTGTCATCAATCTTAGGTTCATAGTTGAGAGTTACAGTATAACAATACTGAAGATTTTTATTTAGTATGATCATTAATATGGACTTAATTCATGGAGACTTACAGTCATTAGGAAGTAGTAAGTGTGATAAATATAAAAATACAACTTCTTCTCCATTCCTTTTCCTAATAGTGCTAATCCTGAGCCAATGAGAATGGATCCTCAAATCCCTAGAGTGATTGGAAAGACCCAACTCCAGCAAGTGCTTCTCTCACCCCTACATGTGAGCCATGGTAAATACTTTTAAAAAGAGATAATCTTATCTTTGTTAGACATTTCTTTTCCATATACAATGTTGGAAGTAAATGCAAAGTTAAATTCATAATTTTGGTTAGCAGAAGCATAATACTATAAAAGAAGAGATGGTTTTGGGCATTGAAAAAACTGATCATCAGCCTGGTAAGTCAAAGCAATGGAAAACTTTAGAGTTTAGAGGCTCCAAGTTGCTATGGAGAAAGTTTTTTTTTCTTTAAACACATTTAAGAAGGGATTTTGTTTTTAACTTAGTCCTACTGAAATGTTGGACTAGATGATTTTTTTTTATTGTAAGGGGACATTCTGAACACCGTTTGGATATAGTAGCTTTCCTGACTGCTTCCCAAATGGTGTCCATAGCAACTCTACTGCAGTAATGCTCCAAATTAAAATAGACTCTAGTCATCACCAATGTTTACTGTGGGATTCATTACATTCAGCAGGAATGTCTCTGACTGAGACCTACTGCTTAAAAATGTCTTCTCTTTCTTCTGATCACCATGCCTTCGCTGTATCCATCACTCTCACATTTTCTTCAAAGACGAAGTAAGCATTAGAATTGTCAAACCTGTAGTTTCCTAAAACTGCTTTTCTTTTGGATTGACTCTGTGAGCTGGATATTATCAGATACCATTTGTACTTAGTAGATGGATATGTTGAATTGCCTTTATAACCTTGAATTTCTAGTTAGTAAGCTCATAGACAATATGTATCTCAATATTGATTGATCAAGCAGAACCCCCCCAAAAGAAATGTTTGATATTTTTCCTGAACTTATTAAAATGTGGATGAGCAGTGGATTTTGATGTCTCTAAAATGTGATAATCACACATTAGTTTTCATCCAACTTCAGTACAAGAGTTGAGAGTCACTTTGGTGAATCCCATATGAATAATACTCTCTACAAACTGGCTTTTAAACTCTAACCCATTGAAGTTTCCTTTGTGTTTACCTCCATCTTGTCATGAAACATTAATTAAGTCAACTGTAATCTTTCAGTTTTAGTTAATTAGTTAATTTCTATAAACATAATTAAAATAAGAACATGATTCTATTTATTGATTTCTAGATATAAGAACCTTTATTTCCATACAAAAAGAATTGTGCATTTCTGTGTTGGGGAAAACGTCTAATGTCCAGGTATTAGACATAAGCTATAGGGGGCTTTCTATCTCTTTATAGCTAGAGTCAGAATCCATGCTTAAAGAGTGATGGATGTCCTTGTTCTCTTGTTTATTTGTCACCAAATAATGGCAGCAGATTGAACAACTGGGCCGCAAACTTCATGTGCACTTTAAAAGCTACTTTGTCACTCAAGGATTTGGGGGAAGAAAAAGCATGTGCAATTGCATGATCTGGAAAAAGGAAAGTGGTCTGAATTCACAAGGGATGGATGTTATGGAATGTCACTGTGAGATGTAGGCTCTTTCGGACATCCTGCTTGAAAGCTTTTTTTTTTTTTTGCTTCATGAAAAATGCATGTTTTTTATCCATTAGTTATCTGTCACTGGGAGGTGTGTGAAGATGGGACCCTGACCCTTCTTTGGTTTTTCTAATAATGGCAAACTTTGAAAGATGGGGCTATAACAAATCAGAAAATTTTCTTTATCATTTTACAAACACAGAAGACAGTAAAGTCTTAAAATTTAACTTGCAATTTGGAAAATAATTGAATTGAAATGATTTCCTTTCTTTTCTAGTAACTTTAGTATTTCATGTTTTACCTCTGTTTTTAAGATATTAAAAACAGGATATTGTGTGGTTTTTCAAACATGTTCTTGGTCAAGGGAATAACAACTGTTTTTTGATTAGAGCATTAGTGACTCAGAGCTTTGTAATCATTCAGGAACAGTACAGGATTAGTAAGATATGAATTCAATAGAGGATTAAGCAGAAGCCCAATCATTTGCGAGAGTTGAATGAATTCTGAATCATGGTGAAGGTTGAAAACTATTTGATTAACTCATGTTTATTGAAATTATATTTGGTCGTTGCTGATGTTTCCCATTTGGATGTATTATTATTTAGTTACATGCATGACCCTTCCACTTAAGCAATCCTGTTTTGTTATTTTGTTAGCCAGGTACCAAGTATCTCAGGATTTAAATCTTACCTGTTAGTAAGACTGGATACTAATAACAAACTATCTAAATCCCAATGACCAATATATCTGGGGAGAAGAATTAACAGATTAAATCATGATTACTAGCAAAAAGCACTTTTTTATTTCAATTTTATTTCCCCAAATTCAAAGAGTTTATTAATATTATTTAATTATTGAATTATTTTTACAGTACTAAAGATCGAACCCTGGTTTTCCTTCATGGCAGCCAAGAACTCTACAACTGAGAAATATTACCCACTCCCATCATTTTAATTATTGCTTTGTCAGGGTCTCACTAAAGTGCCTAAGTTAGTCTTTAATGTATTGTGTAGCCTATGTGGGCTTTGAGATTACAATTCGCGACGTCAACTTTACAGTAGCTGAGATTATAGAACTCCACCACCAGGGCTTTTTTATTCAGGAAAGAATTTTATGATCATCATACTAATTATTTCTTTACAAAATAAAATTTAAAAAATGAGGACGATAAAACTGACTCATGTTAATTTCACAAAGTCATGCGTAGCAAATTGTTCTACATTAATGTATAAATCGCAATTATAAATTCAAACTCCAAATGGTGTTCTCAGTCTACAACTCTATTTGTTACCTTCTTTTTAAAAATAATATTTCTTTAATACCACAGATTCTTTCATCTATGGCTTCCAGTACCAGGTATGGAGAGGACCTTAAATACAACAAGGCACCATCTTCCTGACATCTAAGATAAAGGTGTCACCATGCCACCGCTGGGAATGCGTTGACAGGACAGGCATGATTATAATTTATGGAGTTCACACCTGGGTAAAGCATCAGTTGACTCCCTTGTGCACCTGCTTCCAGTAGCCTGCATGGCACCTTCTAACACTGTGAAAACTAACTCTGAATGTAATGCAGTCAGGCAATTCTAAGTGAAATAAATTCTAACAACTACCATAATTCCTATTCAAGTAATTAAATGATATTGATGTAGTTTTTTCAGTTCTTGCCAGGCATAAATGATAATGTTATAAAATATAATCTAAGTTTTATACTCTTAGGCTGCAGTATTAGTGCAATCCCAGGAATAAAAATACGATGTGGTTTTGGTAAACGAGAAGGAAAAATTTATCTGAAGACGAGGAATTTGCAGAAGAAGCCGTATGCAGGTATATAGAACTGACTAACGTATCCTTGAGATATGGATATCCTGCTTCACACACTCTAACTCCCATGGCTCATATTTAGCATGACAAAAAAAGGCTTTGGGAATGTGATTAAGTTAAGAAACATGAGATAGGAGTGTTAGTCTATATTATTTGCTGGGTGGTATGAAACTAATTTTATTTTTCTTGAAAAAAAGAAGTAGGTGCGTTAGTTAGAAGAGTTAATGTGATCAAAGTAACACTGGGGAGAAATGGCAATCCCATGTTGTTTGGCTTGATGATGGAGTAAGTGGTCAACAACCAAGAGATGCACATGGCATCTGCAAGTTGGAAGAAGGAGGACCTGAGCTCTGCTCTGGATCTTCATAGATATCCTCTACCTATGAAGGTGACTACTCCTTCATCAAAACTCTGATGGTGGTGAGTTTGGATTTATCCCACCTAGAGTTGTAAACAACAAATTCGTGTCCTTCTAAGCCACTAAATAATGGTAGCATGTCAAAGTGGGTAATGGAAGCTAACAATAGATCTTATATCGTGCAAGCAAGTTAAATTTGAGAGAAGTTGGGTGGAGGTCTCATTTTCTGAAAATGGGTGAAAAAATGACAGCTATAAAATAGGCAGAGAAAGAAAGAAATGGATTTTGGGAAAAACATGTATTCAAGTTCAACCTGTTCTTCAAACTCCTCAGGCAATTGAGCATTCTATTTTGTAAGTTAAGTAAAATTTAACTTAGTATTCTACTGTTCCAGAAAATGAGCAAGAACTTCCCACATGTTAAAACCACAGTACTGTGAGTTATGCTTAAGTTGTCTGGATAAATAACCCACTCTGTGGATCTGATTATGCTACTAACCTTTTTAATATTGTTTCCATATTGTTAAAATGAGCTTAGTGTTGTGCCTCCTTAATATGTCTATTTGGAAAAATTCTATATCTATAATGCAATATCATATATGTGATACAACAAGTAAATGTGTATATTAAATCAATTCCTAACATATGGGAATCCCCATTCCTCAAGAATATGTTTCACTATCTTGTTACAGGCTCTTTCACATTCCTGCAGTTGAGTACATTGGGACAAAGTTCCACTTCCCCAGGAGCGTTCATCCAGACTCCTCCATTTTTACTGAAAATGAGTCAAACTTTTAGAAATTTTCAATAAGTTCACCATTCTAATGACTTTCATTGTGCAAAACTTCTAAGAGATATTCCACTTGCAATTTATGAATTTTGTAATGGCAACATGCTCCCTTCCAGGATGCATTGCTTCCCATGACATATTAGCAAATATGGCCCATGATATATTTGCAAAAATGACTTCAAGAATTTCTTGCTGATGATGTAAGAACTAATGTGTACCCTTTGCTTAAAGGTATGGTAATTCTTTAAAGAACTGCATAGTTAACCATGTTTTAACATGAAACTTAGAAAAGCACAAGTATTGATTTTTCTCTCCCTGTAAGACTTAAAGAGGTAGTGACTGAGCTGGGCTGAGGAGCTCATACTGTTATAATGAAAGGAGGCTCAACTAGTAGGGGGTGTAATGAATGTAAGCCTGAAATAAATGAATTATTATAAAATATACTGTCTTTCTGCAATGAGTCTGCTATATTAAAATATTCTCTGGCACAATGTTGTCTTCTCTCAGGTATCTCCTACTGTGAACCTATCCATGATTCCAACATCACAAATCTTATCCCTGAAGACAGATTCCTAATGAGAGTTAAGGATTTGATTATTTGCTTTTAATAACTGTGCCACCCAAATTAAACTTAATGCAGTAGAGACTCTATATGGAAGAATACACCAGAATTATTGGAGGATCAATCAATATTGTAAATTAATTATAATCACAGTTGGCAATCATAGCTGCAATTACTGATTGATTAATTAGGACAGCTCTTGAAATGCCAGTAAAAATTTAATATCATGCTATATTCAACCTGATAACCATAAACTTCTATAATTACTTTTCAGATTCCCATTATTTATTGTCATATTTCTCTCTACTATTATCAGATAAATTTATTTATTTATAATTTTGTTTTAGCAAGACAAACTATTCCATTGTCTTTTGATGAAGGCACTCTATTAAAATATGTTCAAGTTATGGTGCTAAAGAAATCTAATGTCAGTTCCAAGCAAATATTTGCAAATTTAGAGCATCTATTTGTATTGCATCTCAGCCCAAGAATAGTTTTTTTGTTAAAAAAATAGAATATGTGCATATTCTACACTTTGAAAGGTAAGTAATGTTGGTGTACTAGATTTATGTGTGTAAAATTTAGGGTTTATTAACCCATTTCTGAAAGCTTCACACAAGATATTCTCTCCAACCTTCTTTGTTTAATAGCAGCAAGAGCCTAATAATATTGGAATCCATCATACAAATCCACACCTTATTGAAATTAGGAGAAGACTGATGCAAATGCAGAAAAGGATCTGATTAACAATCAAGTCTGTGTCTTGTTTATGAATCAACAATTAGGTACAGCAGATACAAATCATGACCATTGAACTTACAATTCACTCTGCAGTTTTTGAATATTGTGCAAAGTTGTTCGCTACACAGTGAAGGCAATAAGGAGATTCAGGGGCTTTTTTAGGATTTGCATAAGTTCAATAAGGGTCATAGACATTAACACAAATATAAGAAATATAAGCTTTATGTATGCAGATGATCAGAAAGAGTAGAATTTCAAAAATAAAAAAACAGTTTATAAAGTTTACAAGATTTTTGGGGAAATTCTGCTGTGTCAAGTTTGTTTTCAAAATATAAGTCCATCAAAATTCCAGTGGCAATAGTCTAAAGTTTTGGCTCATAAGTTAAGATAGTGGTGTGCTTTTCTAGGGGACTAGAGTTCACTCCTAGCATCCTGATATATGACTCATAACCTCCTGAAACTGCAGTTCTGAGGCACTTAATGTCTCTTTCTCCATGACACCTCATGCACATGTGCAAAGTAACAGATAAAAATTCAAAGTAAAAGGTAAATTTATAAACATTTCAATGATGTTCATCACAATACAAGAAGCAACCTCCAAAAATTCATAGTAAATCACAGAAGACTCCAGACAGTCATAATAGTCCTAAGCAGAAAGAATAATGCTAAAAAATAAATAAATAAAAATCACAGTGCATGATATCAAATTTCCTACAGAACTATAGAAACACAAACAACATGGACCTGAAACAAAATATGTATAAAAACAGTAAAAATAAAAGAGAATGCCAGAAATAAAACCATGCAGCTATCAAATTTTCTATGAAGAAGCTAAATTTATATTTGAAGAAAACAAATACTGATGAAACTGCTTTTCTTCTTGGAGAAGAAAGAAACTCCATTCCTAACTGCCATCCTGTATAAAAGTCAATACAGAATGTATCATAGATTTTGTTTAAGATGCAAAGTTTGAATCTTCTAAAGGAAAGCACAAAGATAGCACTATAATATCAACACAAGTAATGGATATTTGAATTCAAGTTATAATAAGGAAATAATTCATTCAGGAAGCACTAAGAAATAACAAATGGGGCTGCATAAAATTAAGTATCTTCTGCTCTTTAAAGGGAACAACTGGCAGAGAGAAAACCTAGCCTACAGAATAGGAAAAAAATGTACAAGCTAGTTACTTGACAAGAGTCAGTACCCAGAATATGTAAGAAATATATTGTATATCTAAATAGCAGGCAAATCAACAAACAGATGACAGTTCACAAAAGAATCCCAACACGCAATGAGTACATGAAAAAATGTACACCTTGATGAAATACAAATCAAAACTACTTCAATAGTTAAATCTCACCACAATGAGAGTGACTTTCATAAAGAAATAAAAAAAATATATTGGTGAGTATACTGTGAAACAGAATCTTTATACGCTCTTGAAGGTAGTAGGAATTACTACAGCCAGTTAGAAAATCAGTATCCAAGTTCCTCATAAACATGAGCCTATTTATGATCGAGATGTACAATTCCTGGAACTCTAAACAAGGAATCCCAATCATCACACAATAAAGATGCCAGTGTATTAAAGTCACTACAACACTATTCAGAACAATCTTGTTATCAAATCTGACATGATACCCATCGAAGGATGGGCGAATAAAGAAAGTGTAACATTTTTATATTCATGGAGTTTTATTTATAATATTTTTGTATAAAAATGAGATCACTGTGTTAAGTAATATAAAATAGCCCTATGTGATAGTTTGAAAGAAATTAGTACCCAAAAGGTATAGCACTATTAAGAGATCTTCAGACAGTCTTTATTTATTAAAATACAATTGAAATGTCACTACATTTCCCATTTTTATCTAAAATGAAAAGAAGGCTATAATTAATACAAGAAAACTATAATATGTACAATGACCATATACAATATATACAAGCAATAAATACATCAGCAATGTCTAAAAAAAGAGGTGTGGCTTTGTTGGAGTGGGTGTGGTCTTATTACAGGAAGTGTGTCAGTGTGGAGGCAGGCTTTTAGGTTGACTATCTTCTCAAGTGACACCCAGTAAGTCAGTTCACTTTCCTATTGTCTACAAGCTACCATATAGGACAACCGGTTACCTCTCTAGCACCACGTCTGCCCTCATGCTACCATGTCACACCAAGATGACAATAGAACAAACCTTTGAAAATGTAAGCCACCCCTACTTATGGCTTTTCCTTTATAAGATTTCCCATGGTCATAGTGTCTCTTTACAACAACAGAGTAACTAAAACACCAAATAAATACAACTATTAATCCTATTCTCTCATATGAAGAATATAGATTTTAAAAAAAAAGAAGCAGGTGGTGCTCTTAACCGCTGAGCCATCTCCAAGTAATTTTTATGCATGTATGATGACATCGCAATTAATCCATTATATTTTACAGCACAATAAGTACAGCACAGTAAAAGATATGAAAGTAGAAAAGAGAACGTTAATAGAAAAGGGGTTTGGGGTAGGAGGTAAGGGTGGTGACTGATAGGGCAGTGAATATTGTGGAATATGTTAGATTCCTTTATGAAAGAATCACAGTACAGCCTATTGTTTTGTAAAATTAATATATGATAATAAAATCATTTTTAATTACCTGCATTTAAAATTGTTTTCAGATGACAACGGATTCGTTATTAAACTGGTCCTGTATGTCTAATACCGCAAATTCTTGACTTCTAATTGCAAATATTAATGGAACAAATGTTTCTATCCATCCATGGTCCAAAAAACAGGAACATCTCATAATTTATATCTAGTATGTTAGCATAACTAAAACAGAGTCTATAATAAACAAAGCATTGAGTCCATCTGTGCACATATGTGATTAAGGCAGGGTCAGTATTAAGTAATTAATTGTCTCTTGGCCCCCAGTGTATTTTCAGCTTTGCTGTGTTGGTCTGTGTAGAAATATTCTTTCTCTTTTTCAAAGAGGTTAATTCAGACCATGAAACAAAAGCTGCTGAAAGGCAATAGACATTTATGAAGGCTGCATTACAGTAGAAATTTTGATATCATTGTACATTACATTCATATTAATAGCAAATTACCTTAGCATGAATAATAGCAGTTCACAATGAACACCAAAGGAATTAAGCATGATTAGCATTGTCTTCAAAAGCACTGCCTGCCTCTCAAGAGCTGAATTCTGAAATATGAAGTCTCTAGGCCTAGTACATCCTTAGACATCCCTGAGCTGCCAGATCACTTTTAGCCCTATCATTAAAAGCTCCAGTCTGCTAAGCCATGCAAATTCCTATGCTCCTGAGAGCATAGTAATAGGAGCTATACATTGAGCAAGTTCTGCTGATTCAACTCCCATTTCCCTTAATACAAGCTTGGGTAATGTCCATTCAGTGAAGATGTCTTTCAAAAAGAAAAGAAGAGGCTGTTTGGAAACATTATCTTTCTAACAAAAAAGTCACAAGCTCCCTGAAAGTGAAGATTTTAGTAACATAATACTTTAATTTACAATAGTTATGAAACAGTTATTCCTAAGATAGACTTAATTACATGAAATAAGCAGTTTGGAAAAACTAAGTTATATCTTGAAACTTTGGTTTTCATAAAAGAAAGGAGTTTTAAGTAACTCTATACCGCCAAATTGCCTGTTGGTGGTTCCACAACTCTTTCTTGATGACATAACTTTAAAGTCAAACAATGATACAACTTGGCATTGAATGATCTGGGCAGAGATAATTTTGTGACTATGTTTTTGTCACAAAAAAAACTATATGTTTTTGATACACAAAAACAAATTATTTCAAAGTTTGTTGAATAAGTTGTAAAGCCCTGTCAATAGTCTA